GTCGATTGTCTCGGAATCGGATTTGATGGGTGGTTGTTCTGCTTTGGTTGGTGGTGCAGGTTGTGATTTACTTTTTACTTTATTTGTAATAAAAAACCGTTAGAATATCGAAGTGGGGTGGTGGTGGTGTGGTCTGACGGCGGTGTGGTGACAATGGGGAGGCAGGTCTATGGTTTTATGGTAGATCGAGCGGAGGACGGCGGGGGTAGAGAAATTCGCGCAGGCTGGACCCGTCATCGACGACGTTTTTTTTGTACTCGATTAAAGTGTTAATCGACTGTTTTGGTAGTCGATTAAGGTTACTCGACTTCATTTTTTAATTTTTTTTTGGATTTTTTTTTTTTGTATTGATTCTGATTTGTATAAATCAATTACAATTTATATATAGTATTTGTTTTGAAAAACAATTGTTGATTTTAGTTTTTTTGTAGTTTTGTTTTTTTGTTTTTTTTAGTCGATTCCTTAATCAACTCTCCTTCATCAATTAATATATCTGATAGAAAAAAAAGTTAAAAAAAAAAATTTAAAATTAAAAAAAATAAAATAAAACCGACGTGATAGTGCTGATAAGGTGGCATGGGCATAATTGAAAAAATGGTTGGCTGAAATCAGAAGTAGGATTTTCTCAAATGATGCAAAATAATTTGAATATTTTCCTATTAAAAAAAAAAAGTACTGGGGTTATATAAAAGAACCCCAATTTTGCAACACCAAGAAAATCAAAAATTTGAAACATAATTAAGAAATTAATAAATAATTGATTGGATGAATCTAACCCAAACATCAAAAATCGAAAGTACACGGTTCAAACAACCACCTATTGACCCGGTTGACCCGCCATTATCCCTGGACCCGTGGTCATGCCATGTGTCGTATAGTATAGTAGTGCTAGAAAAGGATATGGTTAAATTAAAAAGAAACAAAAAAAAAAAAATCCCTTCTAGTTTGCTAACTACAATTATCCCCTTAATTATGCATCTTCTTACACGTTCACATTATATTGTCAAATTTAGTGAAATCTTCAAAATTATGTAGAATATATTCTCCAGTTTGTACTCGTTTTATCCCATTCGAACTCCACGTTTTGAAACAAGATGGGCATACGATGTGTCTCTTGGCTTCTAAATATCAGATTGTGGTACATCAGAAACTGCATTTTTGCACCAAACGAATACAAACTAGAGAATATTTTGCCGGATCTAAAAGATTATGTTGAATTTGACACCATAAGGGTGAACATGTAAGAAGATTCATAATTAAGAGGTGGTTGTAATTACCCAAACATGAGTGTTTTTTTCGTAATTTAACCATACCTCAGGGTGGGGACCGTAATTTATCCTAAAACTTAAATTGATAACAGGTTCAACCAAATTAAGAGTTGACTATTTGACAGTCCAAGAGAGACCGAGTCAAAGCTCAGTTCTAGACGAGTTGAATTCATTTACTATAGGGTTAAATACAATTTAAACCCTTAAGGTATATCATTTGTAACCTGAAATATCATTTATAACATGTATCCCCTCAAGCACAATTTAATTTATCTTTTAAATTATAATACCTTAAAAAAATTATTGAAAGGAATAGCTAAAAGAATAATTAAATTATACAACTAAAAATATCTGTTGAAAAATGCAATGTTTAAAAATTTAAAAATATGATCTAGTTCAATAAATAACATCTAGTTGTTGTTGGACAATCAATTGAATATATTAAGAAACATATTTCAAACAATATTTTAAGAAATCAATAGATAATTAATAGTAATCTTGAGTATTTAAATTTATTTTAGTTCATTAATTAACATATTTTCATTCATTATTATACAATATATATTACTTTTTAATTTTTTTCAATAATTTAATTTTAGTTACTTTTCATTTTTTATGATCTGATAATTATAATATTTTTATGTTTATTATTTTTTAAATATTAAAATATAAAATAATTGATGTTGAGGGATTAAGTATTACAAATATACTTTAAGGGGGTAAATGTTACATAGGCTATACTTCAGGGTGCAAAGTGTATTTAACCATATATACTATGCATACAGCATATATATTGTCTTTTTGTGTGCATAAAATATATTAAAATATAAAGAAAGCTCCTTGTCCAGCAAGGTATTTCCCCCCACCTTCTTCCTTCAACCAAATTCCACATATTTTCTACTATATATATATATATATATATTCATATGCTTTGCACCACAAAACCATCAACTAAATTTCATTTCATAGTAATTTCATTTGCATTTAATTTCATATCAAACCCAATCTTCAAAGTTCTAATCAAGAATTCTCAACACTTATATTCTCAGATGGCCATGGTAATTAATATTCCATTTCTTCTCTTTTAATTTCTTTTAATTTAATTTAATTTTATTTTTATAGTACTCATCTATTTTTACTAGTCTCGTGCATATTTAATTCTTGAATAAACGAGAATATAATGAATTCGTCGTTCTCATATTATTTGTCGTTTAAGGTTTGGTTCAGATATATCGATAATTAAGAAACCCAAAGTAAAAAACTATTAATTACTGAATTTTTTTTTATTTTTTATTTTTTGTTAATGCAGAAAGTGGTGTTGAAGTTACATGTTCATGATGAAAGGGAGAAAAAGAAGGCCATGAAATCAGTTTCTAGCCTTTCAGGTATGAAAGTTTCAAGTTTGCACCGATTTCATATTTGGTCCCTTATATTTCAAAAATACAATAATTTAAGTCATTTCCGTTAGTACAAACGGAATCAAGCGTATGGCCATGTCTGTCTTGACTGACGAACTAACGGTAAATTGACGGAAATGACCAAAAATGTTTAACAGTACCGAAATATGGGTGACCGAATGTGTTTCTTGTGAACATGGAGGACCAAATTGAAATCAGTGTAAACTTGAGGGATTAAAACTGTAATTTTTCGATTATTGTGTATATTTTAATAATATTAATAATTTTGAATTAATATTAATATACAGGGATATTGTCTCTTGCAATGGACATGAAGGAGAAGAAGCTAACAGTAGTAGGAGATGCTGATCCAATTAAAATTGTGGGAAAATTGAAAAAATACTGCCACGTGGAATTACTGACCGTGGGGCCCTCAAAGGAGCCGGAAAAAAAGGAAGGGGTAAAAAAGGAAGAAAATAAAAATAGTGAGCCAATTGAAGAGCTTATGAAACTTTACAACAATCACTTTCCTCATTACACACAGTACTACCATGTCTACAGTGCTGAGGAGAATCCTAATTCTTGTGTTATTTGCTGATTTTTTTAGTAGGATTTTGTAATATAATATATATATACAAGAAATAAATTATTTATTTATTAAATTTGTGAATTTTTATAAAGGGAATTATTGTCTATGTGAAATAATTAAAATAGTTGGAATATATATAACAATAAACGGTATTTGTCAATAAGCCCCTCAAATCGCTAATAAATAAACTAAGTTCAATTCTAAAATTCATCATTTGTGGAGATCTCCCTAGCACTTTTTGTACTGAAAATACCATACCCTTACATAAATAACATATATCATTATTAAGACATTGTTAGAAGCCTTAACGGAATAATGTTTTGGATAAGTTATTCCGTTATGGTTCTAACAAACTATTAGTTTCTCGCAGTTGTGGAGACAACATAGAGTTGGGGTGACATGACTCCCCCAACATTTTTTAAATCCTTATTATTTTATATAAGATTTATAAATTTTCGTCTATGGTAGCATTAATGGCTCCGTGCGAAACAAATATAGTGCATATCGGTCACCACGACATGAAATCTTAGCTCCCGTGATTGTGTTAGGTGTGTGGTTGTAACTACCAATACCACAAGGACCTTCAAGTTATTTTAGCATACCTCAGGGGTGTAGTTGTAATTTACGCTTGAAATTATAAAGTGATTTAAAATTTAAAAAAAAAAGGCCTAATTAAAAGACAATATTTATGTTGTTTCACACAATATACATTTGAAAGTTATTTTGTATCTATTAGTACGACTGATTGACTAAAACAAAAAATGGCCTAATTAAATTGAAAACACACTAGAAGATGTAGACCCAGACCTCACTCCAACCACTTGCAATTAATCAACAAAATTAGAGGTGGTGAGGCTGTTATTTGATGACTCACGTCCAATCGCTGCAAGCCACGTGGAAGTGTGATCACTTCGTAATTGAGATTTGAGAGTTGGGTTGGGAAACAAGAGAGAAAACTAACGAGTGAAGCTCGCAGCTAGGTTTTAGTTGTGAAAGTGTTTTCGAAGTGTTTGATTATTGTGTAATCTGTAAGTATTTTGAAATGGGTGACGGTGGGATTCGAACTCGGGACATTTTATTTGGTCTAGCTCTGATACCATGTTGAGTGACCACATCAACAAAAAACTTAAGTTGTTAGTGAAATGAATCGTTTAATATTAATATCTCCAATAAATACAAATCGAACCACTTAAATCCTTTGTGTTTTGATCGTATCTTATTGCTTTAGAGTTGATTTGTGTATGTGTATGTTGTAATAATGTTCTTAGCTCATCAAGTGTTGGAAAATTTCACTAAACTTGCTTGGTTTAATTGCTTCTTCTAGTAATTGCATAACAGAGGTTTCGAGGATATTCGATTAAAGTTGGAAATAATCGAATATAAAAGCTTTGTGCGCAAGAATGACTGAATTACCCTCCGTTGAAGAAAAGGACCCCTTGGATCCAATGGTTCGAGCTCTACTAACTAAATTGGTTTCTTCTCAATTTTTCTGTGGGAAAAGACCAAATTGGCCCTAAGAACCAAAAAAGACAAAAATACCCCACCAAATCGCCCCTTAGAACCAAAAAGACAAAAATACCCCCACTGCTATATATGAAGTTGACGAAGATTTGGACGATCACCACTTTCATGCATTTCTTGTTATTTCATTTGAATACACATAAAAACACATTTGCGCACACACAAAAGTACACGCACAAAATATATTCGACTACTAGCGTATACCCCCAATTTCGGCAGTTACGGCATTCATTCATTATCGGTATAGATGCAAATAAGTGAACTCCATCAACTTCAATCTGCTTAAAACAAACACTCCAGTAAAAAAAAAAAAAAAAAAAAGAAAAAAAAAAAAGAAAAAAGAAAAAAGAAATTGAATATTTTCTATACTAAAGCATCTAATTAGGGATTTTCGTTAGAAACCCTCGGAACCTTGGATGGACGCTCTGTTATCGGATTATCACAAGAAGCTCTCTTTGTTCTCAGCTGCAAGTAGAAAATGAAGTGATAAAATTCAATTAATGCGCTCGAAAAACGGGTTTTTGTTTTTCGTTTTCTTTTTATATTTAATGCTAACCTTCACTTCAGCTTGTTGATAAAAGTTTCTTACAAGAATGTTTTTCGCTTCAGAAGCTATAACTGAAAAGTAAGAAATATAATAAAGATTAAAAAAAAAAAGGGAAGTTAGTAAATCATCAATGAATCAACGGATAATTCCGAATAGCTAAAATCGCACGATAAGATAATAATAATAATAAACTTCGTTGCAAAATATATCCACGGGTGAAAACGAGCATTTTCC